TTTTTTTTTTTTTTTTTTTTTTTTTTTTTTTTTTTTTTTTTTTTTGTATCCCTGAGACCACACTAGTTAGATGTACAGAGAAACTCCTGGCAGATGCAAGTGACTGATCACAAACTGAGTAGGAACTTGGTGATAAGTCTGTCTTGGAAGTCTCCCTGGGAGATTCCCTTATAGTATTGATATGGTTGGAGAAAGTCTTAAATAAGAAAAAAAAAATCTGCATCAAGACTTCCTTTCCCCTGCCATAAGTCCTCTCATTCAGCCCAGTCTCCAAGTTGTGGAAGACTGAATATGGGGGGTGGAGTCTTTCGTTTCTAGCTCCTTACCTTGGGCCCAGATTGTCCATTGATCACACCCCAGGGCTGCTGACCCTTGTACTGCTATAAACCTCAAATTGGATGGTTTGAAGTTTCTTCTGAAAAAGTTGCCAGAAACAGAGAGGGTTGCACAGACTTAAGAGTCGCAGATTAGCTCACTTCAGCTATTGGGCAGTGATGAACAGTTCTCTTCAGCTGAACTAAATAACCCCCATCTGACTCGGGATTAAAGTGTTATGGAGACACTAAAATGCATGAGGGTGAGTGACAAAGCTACTTTACTCTTTTCTTTTGTCCTGTAGCAAAACCAGGCCAGTTTGCTATTTATTGTCTAAAGAAGTGAAGGCTGTTATCTGGACCTGAAGGAAAGCTGTACTAACTTAACTGGCATGACTGTTGTGTAATCAAAAGGTATTTAGGAACCCAGTAATGGGAATCTTATCAGTTAGAAGAACATTGGAGCTTAATTCCTATTTTGTGGTCTGTAACGCTGGGCTTATAACTTTTCTGTCAGCTAAGAATCTATGGGAATTGAGTATTTTACCTGCCTTTCCTCAAAATTAGCAGTAAACCATGTTTGGAGGCAGTGTGGCCTGGACTAGAATAGGTGACTTCAGACAAGAACTCAGATGTCCTGATGCTGTTCTTGCATGTATAAGATCATCAAGATGCTCCCAGGTGTTTGTGGTGTCATTTCCTCCTCTGTGATGATCACATGGGATTACTATGTGTTTGTTTGCAAAACCATGCATCATCCTCTGGTTGTTAGAGTTGATCAAAAAGTGGCCGGCCAGCTGCCTGCCTTATGTTGCAGCACACTCCTGGTACTGTGTTCAGTATCCCATACCTTCCATTAAGTTCTCGGGTACTGCGAATAGCATCCCTTCCATAAGGGTTTCCTCATAACTAGGAACCTACCTCAATCACACTAGAAGTTTTACAACACAGTAGCGGTCTTAATTTCACTTTTTTGTCATGTGCACCCTCCCCAAGCCACTAAGTGGCCAAAAGGCAATTAATGCTGCCATTTTTGCCTCTTGGCCACTGAGGGGCAAGTGGGGAGTGTGGCACAAAGAGCAAAATTAAAGGCACCACTGCACCATGAACTTCCACCACAATTTAGCAGTTGAGTCGCTGTATCTCCCCTGAACTCCATGCCAGGTTGTATGGTAGGAGAATTGTTTCTTTTCTCTCCGGTTACTGGGTGAAAAGCTCCTGCAAGCAGAGGAAGCTTACTGTACAAGGAAGGAGTGAAACAGTAGTCATGCAGAGGAACTTTTTTTTCCCCCCCAAGGGTGCTTAAGTCCTGCTTTCACAAATGACTTGAGCATTTTAAGTCAATGACTTTTTTTCAGTATCTAAATGCCTGTCTTTTTGAAGACAAGACTTGTGCTCTTAAAAACTACCAAATGCTGTCAAATGCACTGGAGAAGAATGTTTCCAGTCAGTCAATTTCTGTTTGCACCTCCTGTTTCCTGTAGCACCTGTAGTTACTAAGTATTCAGGTGAAGGGTGTAACTTTAAAGAGCCTCTTCTTGCCTTCCCTATGTCTGGTGTGGGAAGAATCCATGTTGTGTAAACTGCAGTCTGCGCTTGTGCTGTGGTATAGTCTTGGGTCTGTCACCTGCGTTAAGCACCTCGGGGGCACTAAGCTGTGTTCTTTCTGAGTTGAGTTGGACCCAAATTCCTGCTTCTCTGGCAGGGAGCTCTATACAGAAGCAGTTCTGTAGTGCCCTTTGTCTATGTTCCATGAGCTGTTTTGCTAAATTAATTTAAAAGCTGGAGGTGGGGAGGGAGGGGGGAACATTACTGAAATCTGTGTGAGCAGGTACTGTCAAGTGCAGATGGGCTTCAGGAATTCACACAGGCAAAATACTTCTGATTTACACTCTAGTTTCCCAGGTGAATGGGATGGGAAGTATTTTTCCAGCAATGACTTCCCTGGCATGGAGCTGACACTTAGCACAACGAGAACCAGCTCATTTAAGCAGGGTTTCACGTTGGCTTTCTGATCAGCTGTGGTCTAACAACAGTCAAAGAGCACCAGTCTTTTCCTCCCACCTGCAGGAAGGGAAGTGGGAACTGTCTCCATGTTCATAGCACACAGCTTGCATGATGTTCACCTGGGACCTTCTGGTGGCTCTAGTGCAAACAAAATCTGATCTTCACAGTTAATGAGCAGAAATTGCATCCTGTTAGGAAATGAGCAGTCCTTTAGAAATGCAAATCTCTGTTTTGAAGCTGTTTTTATTTTTAATATGTACATATGCAAATAAATACCCAACATCCAAGGGCCTGACTTGCTACAAATGAACAGTTGGTTTTATTTCAGTAACCATTGCTGGGTGCAAAAGGTGATGCTGGTATTCACTCCTGTTTGATTGTTCTTTCCAGTCTGCTCTCAGTTCTCAACTTTCCCTATTGCAGAGTTTACACTTCTCAATAACCTGTCTGGTCTGATGCTCTTAACTTGTTGCACGTAAGTCTGTAATTGTGAGAATGCGTAGCAATATTTTTTTTTTTTAATAGAACTGGAGGACTTATACTCTTCTAGGGGCTGACATGGGGGTAGGAGAGGAAAAAGGAGGTGGCGTTATCTTTCTCACCCTCACACATGCCAGTAACTAAACCTATTTCAACAGATGCTCTGGAGACTTGGCTGGCCAGGCAGCATTTACATTGGCTGGAATACAAAGAGGTTCAAATGCTTTGTAAATTGTTCCAAACTGGTGTCCATAGTACACTTTAATAGGCATTAAAAGCCTACTCCAAGGAAAGTCTATAACAAATCCCAGTTGCAACCATGACACTAAAAAAATATTGCTGAGCTCTGACCAGTAATAGCCTTTCTTTATAGGCTGCTGCTTTAGCCAGTAGATAGTTTCCCAGTCTTCAGCAGAATAATGGCATCTTTGGTGCCTCTGCTAATCAGCACTGCCTGATTTGTTTATTGAGTCACAGCAGATGCATCAGTTGTGCCAAGCACTTAAATCAAACCCAAGTCGAACAAAAGGGAAAAGAAGTAACCTCCCTAGCTGCAACATGCTTCTGCAGCACTTAGTTGGCTGGATCTTTCCACTTGGGGTGAATCCATTTTCACCTGTGCCAGAGGAGGCCTGACTGGTGCCCTTCCAAAGCTGCCCCACCAACAGCTTTCTGGGAGCAGGGTTATTCATGAATTATGCACCCCAATCAGTCATGCTGTCAGGTAGCCTAAACAAATGGTGAGTCTTTGTGCAGTCTCTGCTTCCTTTACCTTGTAATCCTTGTACACCTCTCTTTTTGGAAGAGTCTCAAGATTGTTCTCCAAGCCACAAAGCTCTTGTGTACTTACTGATGAAGTATTCAGAAGGCCATA